AGTTTACCCAACCATTTACCATACCTATCATCAAGCAACACGGAGTCTAGGGTTTGCATTATCGGTCCAATAATTTTTATCGCCGATAACCGATAACAATTTTGAAATTATCGGCGATAACGATAATTATCGGCGATAAAATTGGGTCATAACAATGAGCTAAGTTTCTGTTGTTTTGCATGACTGACATAATCAATTACACTTTCGTCACCTTTGTGAATGAGGATTACGGAAGTCCTGAGTTACTGTTACACTAATTCTAAACACGTAATTTGAAATTCCACAACGGCATTGTAAATTTATTTAGAAAGCAATTTCTAGACGACTATACATTTCGGCTTGAGTCTTCTTTTCTATGTACGTTACGATCAGGGGATGACTTTTTGGTCGTTTGACTTGGGGAGGATGTGGACGAGTGAGCACTTATAGTGGCTGGATTTTCAATAGCGTGCTTTACTCGCAAGTGATACCACAAACTAGTTTAAGACCTCTTGGCAGTTGTACCTTGGAAAGACTTTTCACAATGTATGCAGGTCACGATGTCTCCCTCTTTTTTGAAATGTTTCCAGATCTCTTTGGTTGCCATATCAAATAAAACAGTTTTCACAGGACACGACAGGGATCAACCAAGCACGTAATCAGTTAACAATTTAAGCAAATGAGCGATCAAATGTTGTTTTGAAACTAATTATGATGTCATCAGTCATATAGTGTATCAGATGACTTTAATCGTGAGAGGTTTAAATTTAAGTATAGCATCTGATCAACCGACGTAGAGATCACTTATTATCATCGCACCACACGAATACATAGCTAGAGCCTAGAACAACTTATATATGGGTGGGCGAGACTTTGGGATACCTATACTATGGGAATTGGCCATTGTGAAACATATGCTGTTAAAATGATCGACCATCAAGTGCAGGACAAATAATCAATAAGACATGACAATGGAATATGAAATGTGAATAACTTAACATATTTTGATTTAACAATGAAAGGATGGCACTGATTTGAGTAGCAAATTCGGTTAATAAATATCCATGCTAACAGTTTACTTCCTTAATTGAACGCTGGAGGTCCTAGCGTTCATCTTAATGTCCGTTTAAATAGAGTCCGTCCGTTTAAGGTCCGTCCAAGTTAAAGTACGTTGAGATTTTTTCAAAATTATTCCACTGCGAACTCATGTTTAGGATATGACAACTTTTTAATTTCAGTCAATTGTAATTTATATCATTGGATTTGGACTAAACTATATCATGGGATCATTGGATCAATGAAAAACTAGTTTAAGTGCAGTAACTGCACCCACACGCAACCTTTCAAATTTCGGAGCTGAGAGTATAGACATTATAATAATTATAGACACACGCCACACATGATCTCAGCTATAATATTATGAGTATTTATGATTTAATTTGGTAAAATGCTTACCAGGGCATGTAGGTATATTACAGTAGTCCCAATCCCATCCATTTAAAGTTCCCTCACCATTATAACACCAGGCGCCTTTATCACTGAGGAAAATGACGACACATGTTATATGAAGAAATTCCAAAGCCCCTAATTGTTTCATTGCAGTTTTGTTGTAGATTTTACTTAAATCTACAATAAATGTTTGTGCCCCTACCTTGTGCTCGACTTGATAACAATGATTATGGAACACTACCAGATATCAGATATTGAAGACTTACCCGTCTGGATTTCTGCAATAGTTCTCTTGCAGTCCTAAATCAGGGTATCTGAAAAAAAATTTGTAATAAGCTATTTTCCTTAAGTAGGTAGTGTTGTGAATCGTAACTAACAATTTTGCTTCCGTCGAGAGCCCTTTTAGAAACATTTCGAAGTTTGGGTGTAAAATTATTTAGGACGCTCGATTAAATAGAGTACATGTCTCATCTTCCAAAATCCGAATAAAATAATCTGGATAAAAATAAATCTAAATCTGGATTATGCCGTATTGTGGCCGCCTGTGGGTGCAGAGACTAGCTTATACCCGTTGTGCATTAGAAGCACCAAGAAAACTTACTTCTCATGAGTTAAGTTGTGTGCATGAGGTGATTGAGAGTCCCATCTCTGGCAGACGCTTCCGAATTCTGTGACAGATACAGTTCCCCTGTAGTCTGATCCATCCTCAACCGCTTTATGAACACACTCGTCTGGAGCTGGAGTTAATCCATTTGTTATTCTTTTAAGAATCGTTATTCGTTAATAATGAATAAAAGTAGTTTCTTGATGAACGATGGCTTGATAGTGAGATAGATTGGGGTTTGCGGTAAATCTGCGTTTGCGGTAAATTGGAGCGCAGTAAATCTGCATTTACGGTAAATTGGAACGCAGTAAATCGGAATCTGTAAACAAGGCCAGGGCGGGGTAAATCGGACATCTGTGAATCGAAGTGCGCGGAGAATGTCCTATATGATTTACAACGGCTGTAAGACCTCTGGAGTCGATGCTAACATTTAAAATTCCAATATCTGGCATTCTGGCTCATTGTTTATACAAAGTGGAAATCATACGATGTCAAGTTTAGAAATAACCACTAAGGTATTCTACCCTAAACTTAAGTTTTAATTATATGCAAAAATATTTTAACGTCATTATCATCACTCGATGGACGATGACGTCATCAAGTTAAGCGTTTTTAAAGCTTGATTTTTGACAAAGTAACAACTTTTAAATCAAAGTCGATTAAAATCACGCATTTCGTGATTTAGTATTCTCTGCTGTTGGGTCATCCTTTGGGATGTGGAGCTAAGTCTGGTTTCTTTACTTAGGGGTCGTTGACATATTACGTACGCGTAGGTAATCAATATTTTGGCAATTTTTACCCCCCCCCCCCCTTCCATAATCAACCGTAATCAAGACCCAACCCCCCCCCCCCTACTGACAGTAATATTACGTAATCATGGCCTGGCCTGACCCCCTCCCCCCGCCCCTTTTGACTTTTTTCCCTTTTTTCCCTGGAAACACTTTTCCTTACATTTGATGCTACCCTGATCATAACGAGCCGAAATTATTGTTATGATATCCGGCCAAGCACCTTTCAAACTATTTAAGTTATAGAGTTATAGTCGGATATCCGATCAATTTCTAAACTTTATCACTATCAGAGTGAAACCAAACACCCCCCCCCCCCCCCGTAATCAACCGTAAGCATTTGGGAACACCCCCCCCCCCCTCGGCTTATTACGTAATAATATGTGAACGACCCCTTATTATACAATTTATCATGCTATAAGTATCACATTATGGCATGATCACTTTCTCGATCTTCGGCTTCCTCGTTCACATCTTCGGAGTTATTATTTACCTCCACATCTTGTAAAGTTTACACTGAAATGTAGGACCGAGGTGATCGAATACAAAATTGTTTTTAAAAAGCAGGTATTACTGATATGATGCTTTAAGCATGGAATATTTAATGCACGATAACCCATTTGAGGAAGATGACCTGTGATATGATCATCAAATCTGGTGATCATATTTCGTATCTGTTGTTTTTACACAACTTTCATTATAATAGACACTGATCTAGAGATATTTTGACATTTTTACTGCTTAACGACTGCCTTTCTTGCTTATTGTATGAAAAATTAATTTACAAATTATCTGCTAAAGTTTTAAAAACGCTTAAAAAAAAGATACAAAAATTTGGATTTTTGATGTCCGTTCATAATTATGTCCTTTCATTTAATGTCCGGTAAAATAAGGTCCGATAAGGTATATCAAGATTTAACTTGGACGGTTAGAATTAGCTGGTTAGCTGTAGAGGTCCAAAAACGCTAAATTTGATCGATGATTTTGCGGAATTTCGAACTTTTTGGAGATAACTTTTGAAGAAAAAAATGTTGTCATTATCGGTTTATCGGTTAGAAATTGTCGCCGATAATATCGGTTGCAAACCCTATCCCAATTTTATATCAGATCAAAACATTCCACTTTACAGGGTGATAATGATAGTGTTATTTGTTTTAGATTCTAACCTGTACTTTCAGCACTGGAAGTAGTACACATCAAGCTAACAGTTAAGATAGCCAAGATGTAAGAGATACCGGTGCCCATACCGGTGCTCTTCAAAATCATGTTATTAAGAGTGTCTGCCCGCCAATACTCGTAATAGTTTGAAATCGCTGGCGAGAAACTTTAGTAAGAACACACAGATAATAAATAGTTGAAAAGTGATCTCATAACAGAGACAGTATATATATAGCAAACGCTGGCGTTATCACGAGTGTCACGTGATAGAATAAATGTCCCAATAAGAGAGCTTCTATATATATCGGAGTATACTGGTTGGTTTACAAACTGTGAGTTTACCAACTAGAGTTCCAGATAATGAGCCTGTTTGTAGATCATCAGTCTAAGTTGGGTTATGGTGTCTTTAATTTACATCCGGAAGTTAAACTAATGGTACTGAATTTAAACGCCCATAAGCATTGGCTCTAGTAGTAAATTCTAGTAATTTAGTAAATGCGCATGTAGATTGTAGAATATTACGATAAATCCTAAAAACTTAGCAATAAAAAACTGATCTTGACTAGAGAATCATAAAATATATGAAGATAACGCACATCACAAGTTGACCTATCTTCACCTGGTGCTTTTCTTCTGGAAAATTATACACCTTTTCGGCTCTAATTTGGACCCATGTTGTAGTAATTTGTTATTTTGCAAATTATAAGGACAGCTCACAATTTAGGCTGCTCGCTGTGTTCAACTCTAAAAAATGTAGAATGCATCTTCCAATTCCAGTAACACTAGCCAAAACGGGTTGGAAAATCTTTTTTACAATTTCACTTCTAGTTCTGCCGTTGAAATTTGAAATGGGCCGTTTTAAGACGTTTTTAGATTTAACTAACTGGGGCAGTGGGGCACATTTAAAGCTCTTTTAAAGATTTTCAAAACTTTTAAGTTGGTAAAAATTGTAAGTTCCACCCACGTCAGACGTAAACATGCACGCTATCGCCAAAGTAGCCTAATAACCAATGGTGTTTCAGAAAGTTGGTGGTGATCATGGGTACCTGAACGACACTGATATGCTCACCCAACACGCAGAATCTATCGACCTGGCTGAGAAAGAGTTCAACAGCACCAGGAAAATGGGTGGCGCCGAGCTCAGGTATGGTAATGTTATTATTTATATTACTTATATTACCATGAGAGACGATAGCATTGGGAAATACCGAATTATAAAACTAGAATTCCCTTAATCTCTGAGAAGGAGCTACTCGTATATATTGATAGTCGGTTATATTGTCGCATTAAAAAATCTCCATCGCAGCTGAGGGTATTATTAGGACGACGGAACTGGATTTTTCTGATCAAAGATTTTTATAAAAACCGATTAAAACGTAATACAAACTGAAAACAAAGTTATCGCAATTAAACAGATCATTATGCCGCTTTTATAAATCACTGCACGTGCGCGTAGATGTCGAACAATCTGCACGTGTGGTCACAGATTCTACCAAACGACATTTCTGAATTGAATAATATTTAACCGTCTCTAACCCTCAGTAAGACGTTCCTGGAGA